GTACTAGAAAAATACAATTCTGGTTAGTAAATCACAATGCTGTTTACAAAACTATATAATATTAGTAAATGTATTTAGTAAAAGTCTTTATATTATATTAGTATATATAAATTATAGAATAAATTTAGGAATTGAATTAGATAAGGTAAGACCTAGTAATATCATATATTGTAAAACAAAGTTTGGTGAAATATTTAAAATTAAAAATATCTGGTGACTAAAATATTTTGATAATATAGAAATAGATGTAGTTTAAATATGAAATTGTATAATGTTTGCAGCAGTATAAATATGTTACTATGCAATAGATTTTTATGCACTTACTCGTTTGGTACACTTTGGTTCATGTCTATAAAAACCATCGCAATTTCTTTTAAGGTACAGTTATACATTGAATTTATCACGTATTTTCCAGATTGTATAGGTTCTTTTTCCTTTCGTTCCGCACGACATGCAGGGCCTCTGCACTGTTTGGGGAAATTAATATCTACATTTGTGAATCGATTTTTGGTAGTAGTTGACTGTGATATAGTGACTTCCGAATGTGGTATAGTAATATCGAGCTTTGCAGTTTTAATATTTAAGTNTTGTATATTACAATAACGTCCAATTTGTAATTTGATGTATTGCTGTTCGCATAACACATTTAGTACAACAGTGGAATTGACAAAAAGAGTAGTTTTTTGTATTTCTAAGAACATAGTATAATTTATCGGGTGTACACACTGCGATGTCTGAGACAAATTCTCATCAATAGAAGTAGCTAATCCGATAAGAGATATTGAGTATAGTGTTCCAAAGAGTATAAGCATTTGCGTAATGCGTGCCTACAAAGTTATTTTGTTTGTTAAATGAGAAATACAGACACACATTAATACAAAAGTAATACGCAAAATATTATAAAACACCGAACGTTTGCAATATCAAATGCACAAACAGCAATCACAGATGTGTAACCATTATGAGTATGTTTATCAGAAAAGATGTTTTTTATTTCTCGCACACACACACATTACAACACGTATCACGGATGTGGTTTTACCAATCGACATACGAAGAGACGAATAAGAAAACAAAGTACAGTTTTACTGTATACTACATGTGTTCGATAATATTTGAGATTTTTGGAACAAAATTAAATTCAAGAAACTCGTTTAAGGTAGTTCTATCACGAGACAAAAGTTTTGACATAAATTCTAATTTTTTATATAATATTATCCGGACCAATCTTCATTTTTTTAAAACAAAAGAACAATTATTTACCGACTAATTTAATGAAACAATTTAAGGTGAACAGACATATAAAACATTGACACATATAGTATACGCAAATTCTTTGTGTTCGTGTATCTAACTTATAGACTTGAGATCTTTTTTAAAAACTACTAAATATATTTTCAATTTGTTTAATAAGTAGACATTGAAAAAACTAACAACGTTACCGACCATTTTGATTTAATAAAATGATCCAAATTGATAAATGACAAAATTGTAACCTGTACGTAGTATAGCCGCCATGTGTGGCAACGCCGCAATTATACTCGATGTAATGTAAAATATTTTTTACAACTAGTTTAATTTATTTCATCAATAATTATATTTTTAGTTATGCATAGTACGCGTTGGTTTCTTGTGCATTTTAATTTAAAACTTTTTTTAGCACTCACGAAATCCTACGTGATAAAACTACCTTAATTAGTTTTGAGCGCGTTTTGCATTGCATAATAAACTTATATTGCATAATAAACTTATGGTCCAATACTGACTGTCAGATATTTGCATACGAGTAGAAACGTTATATTTTATAACACTTGTACATTTTCAACAAATATAAGAATATATATATATACACACAGAAATAAGAACTTACCATCTTCTATACAGTGATATCCAATGCATTAAGATATAAATCTTGCAAGAAATATTATTACGAACTTCTAGCACAACGAGATCAAACCCGTAACGTTTGCGCGATCTTACCTCTTCGAGATATTCTCGAGAACTAAGAAACGATCGTTTCAGTGGAACAATATCTACGTGCCAGAAAGTAAACATCTGTGTTTGGGAAAACGACCTTATTTTTGTTCTCTTTTATGTACGTGTATGATGATAGAAGTAATGGTTTCATATATGTCTGTTTCACGGTTAAATATAAGAATATAATTTCACATACAGACTGTTTTATTTTATAATTAGATAGTTTACTTTGAAATCTACATTTGAAATAATGTTTTTTATTTACAAAACTTTGTATGAAATATTGTAAATAGGCAGATATTCCATTGATAGAAATGTATAGAATTTATTTACTAGATAAATATGCAGAATTCGGAACTGCATTCGAAATCGCTATAATCCAGATTTTCTTTTTTCCGTTTTACGCAAGAGTTCGCGGTAACTGGCTTGATGTCACGTTTATTTCGAGCGTTATATTTTTTGTTAGCCTTTCTCTGAAAAATATGTTGTACGACTTTGTCGGAGCCTGACGAAAGTAGAGACACGACATAAGCATTTAATCGAGATGCAAAAAAAGTGTTGACAACGAGACGCATAGTTTCCGCACAAACATCCGAATGGCTCGTATCGGCCTTATTTATTTCCTGTTTATATTTGTTGTTTTAATTTTAAGCGTAAAACTAACATACAAAATAAAAAACTATAACATGAAAGAATAGTACAATAACTCGTGAAAAATGTATTTCAAACGAAATTAAACTCTTTTGTTAGCGCCTATTTTAGTATAAAATATACTTAAAGTAAGTAGGATAAATCCTCAAAACAAGAATACAATTTTTCCGGTGTAGTCACCCTTGTGTACAAAAACGTATAAAATAACATTTGTGCGACAAAACGTACAATTTCCAACGAATCAGTAAGTATTTTTGTTTTTTTCATTTTATCAGAACGTATCGAAAAAAAATATTTTAACTAAAATATTTAAATATTACATGATAAATAAAATGACGTGTTTTCATACACCGAAAAAATTATATTCTTGTAAGTAGATTTTATACTTAAACAATCTTCTTAAAGATTTTAGATAATATTCTTCTGAAATTAAGAATATATTCTTTATTTAAGATATATTATATATATATTATATTCTATATAATATAATATATAATATAGTCTTTTTCGATAGTGAGATATACTAGTTTATGTTTTTCTATAGAGGCTTTTTATATTCTAATCAGTATATATTCTTATCAATATTACTATTTAGAGAATTTTCCTCTTAAAATAAGAAACTCTTGTTGGCGCCTATTTTAGTATAAAATATATTTAAAGTAAGTGGGATAAATCCTCAAAACAAGAATACAATTTTTTTGGTGTAACCTTATCAAAAGATTATAGAAACTCAGATTTGAATAGTTTTTAACATTAACATTAATTTTTATTTGTTTCAGTCTCGTAAAATATTACGTTATGGAGTTGGCGTAAATCTAACACATAAAAACGTTACAAAAATAATAACATATTGGCATAAATTAATTTGGTATTAATTTTATACCGAAGTAAAAAATAGTCGAAATAGGGTAACATGAGAAATTTTAACACGCACGAGTTTTTACTGTATGTAAAAAGACGAAATATAATATATATATATCATATCAACAATACTTCAACATTTTAGAAATTAATCATTGGACCTTATGATATATTTCTTTTATCTGAAAAAATAAAAAAAAAAACGACAAGAAAACATCGCGCGATAGTCCATGTAACCGCCTCTTCGTAGTAGAAGTTATCCCTGTTGCGCAACATATAAACGCTACGGCAAAGTAGCAAAAGCGACTGCCAAGAAAATCGCCAAGTTCTTCCAGTTTTCTCTGAAAATCGTCGAATTGTGGATATTTGTGGACACCATATATTCGACGCGCATCTACGATTTATTTTAGTGTTTTTTTTTTTTTTTTTTAAGTACGATTTATTTCGCACTATAATAAATTCGTACTTGTTACCGCGCGGTTTTAATAATATTCGTCTATTTTCCAATGTGTCTGTGATCTTCGATCGGATTTTTGGCGCGATATACAGGGTGTCCCAGAATTGGTTTAACATCTCTTGTAGGCAGGTAGAAGGAATAAAACTGAGGTGAAAAGTCATATACCATTTTGCTAGATTCGCAATAGTTACTGAGATTTTAAGTAACAAAGATTCGCGAATGAGCATGCATCGGGCTGTCTTACGCGCGTAAGACTGCCCGCCGCGTTTTGCGCGCTAACGGTGTTACCCATAGCGACATATGGAAGGAGCTAATATAACAGCATATACTATATAACATATACATATGTAGAAACAAAATTATATTTCATATTCTTGTGGAGAAAATATTATATATCTTGTTTGTCGTATCTTTGTCGTATCTTTGTCGTGTCTCTGTATTAACGGCGAATCTTTCATAATAAACTTGTATATTTACGCGACAGTAGAGGTGACAAATATTATTTGTCCTCACCTCTACTATATTCGTTGATTATCGATTACGACTCAACCGACAGATTCGAAATGAAAAACAGAGTCGAAGTAAAAGGTATAAAGCCGAGAGACACCAGAAGATCAGAATCCGCCGAAAACATAAGACGCCCGAAGATTTTTGCGTGCTCTGACTTAGTAGCCTAGAGTGTATAAGTTTGTTTTTCTTTTATTTATTGCCTTCGTATAATTAAACAGACGTTATAATTATTTATTAAATTAATTATTTATTTATTTATTTAATCCGAACATCATATCCTACAAATAATTGGGGGCTCGTCCGGGATAGACGCGAGTTATCGGTGAGTTAATCGAGAGAGAGATATACGCGAGTCGAGTGGAGAGACGTGAGTTGTGCGAGTTGTGTCGATGCAGTGAGTATATGCACGTGTTGTGAGAAGACAGTCGCAAGGTCGTGTGCGAGCGAGAGAGAAGACGAACGGCGATAGGCGATACGAGCATTGTGAGTCGCGAATTGAGAGCTATTGTGAGGAAAGAGTTAAAGAAAGAATGATAATACAAGAATGTCTTGCGAGAGAAGCTTGAGTGACTTTACGGTGAGTGGCCTCAAGGACATTTTACGAGAGTTGAAAGCATCGACAGTAGGCGTGAAGGCCGAATTGATTTCGAGAATCTTAGAGATAGATCCGACGGGTGATCGGACGTCACACGTATTGACGAAGAGAAACGAAAGACAAAATGAGAGCAGTGCGAGCGTAAATTTTCGGGAGGCGGATGAAGAGTCAACTCTTCTTCGGCGAGAGATGGAGGTGTATCGGCGAGAAAAGGAGTTGCTAGAGCGAGAGTTGCAATTAGCTCGCCGAGAAATAGATCTAATGAGAATGACGCAGAATGCGAGGACAAATGGACATGATTTTGGAGCGGTGAGCCCATCGGTATCGCATGCATCTGTTGGACGGCCAAGTCTGAACATCGTCGCTGATTCTTTGAGTCATTTCGATGGCAGCAACAATCTATACAAAGCCTGGAAGAAACGAGTTAAGTCGCTCAGAAATGCCTACGAGCTGACAGATGATTTGACCAGACTCATGATAGGCGCATGCCTGAAAGGAAAAGCACAGGAATGGTTCCATTCGGATCCTAGTTACTCGGACTTGCCAGTGGACGAACTCCTGAACGAGATGAGGGCCATGTTCTTCCACGAACCCAGCAGAATTCAGACGAGAAAGCAGTTTGAGCAACGCATGTGGCAAAGAGGTGAAACATTTTGTGAATACCTACATCAAAAAGTGATATTAGGAAACCGAGTCAAAATCGAAGAAGCAGAGATGATCGAGTATATCATTGAGGGGATACCGGAGCCTGCCCTGAGAGACCAGGCGCGGATCCAGCGTCTCAGGACGAAATCGCCGCTGTTGGAGGCGTTTGAGAAGGTGACCTTGCGCCCGAGAAATCTATTCAGCCGTGATCAAGATGCGAGAGGGCAGCGAAACAGCGTAAACGAAAAGCGAAACGTAGCTCAGGTAAAGCGTTGTCATAATTGTGGCGTACAGGGACACTTAGCGATGGAATGTCCTTCAAAATCGAGAGGCGCGAAATGTTTTGGTTGCGGGGAGTTCGGGCATATCGCGGCGAAGTGCCTAAAAAACAAGAACGAGGTAAGGGAAGTAGGTGAAGTCTCAAAGTCGAGTCACAACAGCAAATATTGTAAAGACGTAAAAATTCGAGGTAAAAAAATAGTAGCCTTAATTGACACTGGTAGCGACTTATCGCTGATGCGCGAGAATGAATACCGACGGTTACAGTTTCCCGAAATGACTCAGCAGGAGATTGTGTTTCGCAGAGTAGGCTCGGAATATTATAAAACGTTAGGTAAAATCGACGTTGAGATCGAAATTGATGGTGAATATTTTACCATCTCAATATTTGTAGTGCCGAGTAGCGTGACACAACACGCGCTGCTTATTGGAACGAATTTCCTGAATAAAATAGAGTTAAATATCCGAGAGGGAAGAATCTCTATTAAAAAACCGCGTGCAGGACTTGAGACGTCGGGAGAGATTCCTGAGATATTTAATATTGAGACCATAGAGAAACCGAAGCCTCAGGATGATAAATATCGCGCGATAAACAACATACACAGCAAACAGTCTAGATCTAGTGTCAAAGAAATTGTAGAACAGTATTGTCCGCAAGGAATTAAAAAGATAGGAGTTAAGTTAAGCCTAATTTTAAAACATGACGATCCGGTATGTGACAGACCGCGTAGATTAGCGCCGTGTGACAAGCGTCTCGTTGACGAACATATTTATGACTGGCTTAGAAGAGACATTGTAAAACCGAGTACATCGGAATATGCTAGTCCGGTGATTCTCGAAAAAAAAAAGAACGGCCGAACTCGACTTTGTGTTGACTATAGAAAACTGAATAGGAAAATCGTGAAGGATCGATATCCGTTACCGTTAATCGAAAACGTAATAAGCGATTTGCAGGAAAAGCGAGCGTTGCTGCGAGAACAAGCAAAAACGGCGATCGAAAAAATTCAGCGAGAAAACAAAAGAACCTACGATCGTAAGCGAAAGAATGCTAATGTGTATAAATTGGGAGATTGGGTAGCAATTAAGCGAACGCAAGCCGCTCCAGGTAAAAAATTTTGCTCTAAATTCTTAGGACCATATGAAATAATAAAAGTATTGCGAGGCGATCGATTTGTCGTTGCGAAAATCGGCGAACACGAAGGGCCACGCACCACGAGTACGTCGGCCGATAACATGAAACGATGGCTATTGCCTAATAATGTAATTAGCGATGTTTATAGCGACAATTCCAATGTCGAGAATAATGAATCTAGCGCATCGGAGGCCGATGATTAATCAGAATGGCCGAGTGTAGGAACAAAATTATATTTTATATTCTTGTGGAGAAAATATTATATATCTTGTTTGTCGTATCTTTGTCGTGTCTCTGTATTAACGGCGAATCTTTCATAATAAACTTGTATATTTACGCGACAGTAGAGGTGGCAAATATTATTTGTCCTCACCTCTACTATATTCGTTGATTATCGATTACGACTCAACCGACAGATTCGAAATGAAAAACAGAGTCGAAGTAAAAGGTATAAAGTCGAGAGACAACAGAAGATCAGAATCCGCCGAAAACATAAGACGCCCAAAGATTTTTGCGTGCTCTGACTTACAATTAGTAGCCTAGAGTGTATAAGTTTGTTTTTCTTTTATTTATTGCCTTCGTATAATTAAACAGACATTATAATTATTTATTAAATTAATTATTTATTTATTTATTTAATCCAAACATCATATCCTACATTTTAGTGTTTTTTTTTTTTTAAGTACGATTTATTTCGCACTATAATAAATTCGTACTTGTTACCGCGCGGTTTTAATAATATTCGTCTATGTTTGATATTTGATGCTTTCGCGGTGTGTAGTATTAACATACAAAAATGTTTTTTCGGGTTTGAACCGCGATACTATATCAGGCCTGATATAGTATCAGGCTGATACTATATCAGGCTGCTCTTCAAACCCTGATGAAGTGAGCTGTAATGTTCACGAAACGTCGGTATAAAAATGACACTAACGCGGTTCAAACCCGAAAAAACATCTTTGTATGTTAATATTCGTCTATTTTTCAATGTGTCTGTAATCTTCGATCGGATTTTCGGCGCTATATACTATATTCAATCTCATACGCGCTCGGCCGCAACGTAAATCGATGATCGACAAAACCACAAACGCGCGTTACACGCGCGTTTGCGTACGTGCGTGACGCTTGCAATTCGCGATTCTCGATCAATTCTCGCGCGTGATGATTGAAGAAATAATTTTCTTTCACAAGTATATAACGCGCAGATTGTATTCGCCGATTGAATAAATTTCATTCATTCAATAAGAAGATTTCCGAATCATTTTCAATGCGTCACAAACCAAAGTCACCGTTTAACATTCGGCTATCGGAAATATTTCTGAGAAAGATATCAAATTGTTCGTTAAGAGAATTCGTCTTGTGTGGGTGTGTGTGTGTGTTTCATTCACACGTATTTTTTATCGACGCGTCGCTTCGAGAAGAAAAATAACGAGACATCATTCTTAAATAATGAGAATTAATTTAAAAACAAAAAAAACAAAACAAATTGCTCTACTTTCTCCTATTTTAACATTCTATTTTTTAAGTTTAGAAAATGTAAAAAGATTTGCTTTCTTGACCCTGGCTAGACCAGAATTTCCCCCCGTTTAAAGAAACGGAGCGCTTTTTTAATATATTTAATCCATTGATCAATTTGTTATTTAAATTATAAAAAAATAAATAAATAAAAAAAAAGTTTCAAATATTTGAAAATGAAAGACCTACACAAAACTTTTTCCCGTGCCCGCGATAACGGTGACAGAAAGTCGGTTAATCATTCGAGTCGACACGACGTCTAGCGGTATCATTTCCATTAGATTAGATTACACCGCTTTCTACCAGATTTGTCGTCGCGGTATCGGTAACCAATAACCAAAAAAAAGTAAACAACGCAATACCGATCTTTCTCAAGTAATATGTGGTTTGATAATCCGTAAATCCGGTTGTTTTTTTTTTATTTGGAATCACAGAAAGTTTTTTATGATCATTGCGCCACACGCACAATCACCCTCTCTCACGTTTTTTTCTTTCCCTTTACTGAACTTCGTGCTTTCGGCCGCGCGTGTCGCAAGAAACATCGTATGACCCAAGAGAGAAGACCGCGACTTCTTTACCCGCTTCTCTCTCTTCCCGCGCGCAACTCACTGATTATACTCCGCAAAGCGTACGTTATTGCGTCATTTTTTTATCACGCGCAATATATACTTCGCCATCCTTCGCCGAAAACTTCATCCGAAACCGATTTGGATTGTCGCTGATTAACGTTTGTTTTTTTCGCGACCTTATCAATATCTCTATATGGCGAAGAAGAAAGCGGAGCAAGACGGCGGAAAAAAAACGGAGAGACAACTGCATGCAATCGCGGAATAGAACAAACCAAAAAAAAGCAAAAATTAAACCTCGCAAGCCCTTCGAGACAAAAAAACGATCGCGCGATCGCAAGACGCGCTTCTCGTTGATCGCGTGCGCGCGCGCATTATTTATTATCGTCGCGCTCTTCTGTACACGAGCTTCATTGCTTGGCGCGCGGTGACACACATGCGTCTCGAATGCGTTTTGCAATTTATCATCTCGTTGATCGCGCGAAATCGGAAACGGCGCCGCGTTTTTATTGCCGCGCGTGACACGCCGTAAACGTACGTGTCGCGCGCGGCGCCGTCGAATGCAGCGGGGCGCAAGATTCCATCGCGATTGGCTAAGAGACCGACGACGGGCCTTCCGGCGGACGAGCCCCAGTGGGAACATGCGACCTGCACCGTGTGTAGTATTAAAAGTAATCCAGGTTCGAATTAAGTTGGAAAAACACGTGGGTGACGGGAACATTTTCCCCTGATCGGTGACGATCGGCGCACAGATACAAACGAATTGTTCGCGACGGCGAAGCCGAACTACGTTGCTTTACATCCAACCACGAAGGCACGTCCGAGAGCGTGACCCTGATGACGAGTGTACACGAGCGCACTTGCGCTGTCGATTGGATCAATTAAAAGAATGGGGAAAAATTCATGTCAACGATGAAAAAATTTGTTTGTGCTCGGTGTTGTTGCACTAGACACACATGGGGAATATCGGGGTTCGTTATTAACGCTTGAAAAATATCTTAATGAGACACGACGGAAATAACGACGATATTGTTTCAATGTCACATTGTTGCAAATATATTTCTCCGCGGAAACTCGCGCCGGGGAAAAGGGTTTTTTATTTATTTATTTCCACGGTGAGAAACGCGCCGGCCTACTTTTTTCATCGTTTTCTTTATTTCGTATTGTGTGTGCGTTCGAGATTCTTTTGTTTCTTCCGTTTTTAGACTTTTCTAAGATTTCCTTTTTGCACGTCTGGATTTGGTTCGCCGCGAGATCGGAGCGTTTTCCCAGCGGAGACCGGGCCGTTGCTTTCGGGGCCAAAAAATTTCACGCTCTCTCTCTCTCTCTCTCTCTTCTCGATGTGTTCAGTCACTCGATCTTTAGCTTTTCCCCCTCTGTGTGTTCGTCGTTCTCTCTGCCTAAATCTCCCCTTCTCCCTTTCTTCAAGATACCGGGGACAGATACTCACCCACCGCTAAGTCTTATATAAGCATCCTCAGTTCTATACGAGAAGACAGTCTATGTATAAAATCTTCGAGAAGCACTCTCGGTGCGATGCTCGGTAATACACTCTTGTCCACACGTTTAATACGTCGGTAAAAGAGCAGTTTTATACGCATTTTCCAACACCAAGACGTACGTATCTCTCTGAGGAGCGCGCGCTATTCTCTGATTATAATTCGTCGAGAGGCAAAAGGGTTGGGAAGGTACATACGCGACTTTTCATCGAGGCTTCCTTTTAACGTTTTCAGACACACACACACACACACACACACTTAGCCGTGTGCAAAATCTTCATCCTCCAGACGCAACAATTCCCCGAGCACCTGTTGCTTTTCCGAACGGTAATTTTCTTTGAGGCGCGCGCGCTCATCCCGCGAACACACACCATCCCCTTCGCAAGACAATCGCAAAAAAGAATCTCACGCGAGGAAACGAAGGAACGATTTCCCCGGCAGAGAAATTTATTACGAAGCTGTTCAACAACATGAAGCTACTTCTCGTCCTCTTTGTCGTCCTCGCGACGTACTACTCGTCGCATCTCGACGCGGCGTCGATCAGCTCGGAGGTAAGAAAAAAAAAATTTTGGTCGAACGGTAAAAATTCGGTCAAACATATATAAATGGTTGAGATACGAGAGAGTCGGAGTTGAGTGGAACAAACTCGAGCGAAGTTTCCGAATTGAAAATTTTGCATAGAAACGGGAATCTCAGAACTTCCGAGACGAGGAGAAAAGACGGAATCGAGCGCTCCTTTAAGAAATCGGTTTCTTCGCGGTCACGGTTCGACGTTTTTATTTTTCTCCGTAAAAATTTAGCAGAAGCGTCAGAAAGAAACATATGTCTATCCTTGGCTCTCTCATGTCATCTATCCTTGTTTTGGTTTGATTCGGTCCCGAGAGATGGCGCCACCTACCCGATAGCGTAGCGGTTGAGTAGCAGCTGAGCGGACTTTTGCCAGCTGTTCAGCATCCTCTTAAGGGATTCAACGAGAATCGTGATTTTCTCGGAAACGCGGGATCGTAAACTATTCTCTTGACCGCGACTCTTTCATAAAAAGCGCGCGATTCAATATATATATATACGTATAAAAACAAATCATGGGCAACACCTGCGTGTTAAGCGAAACAAACGGAGATGTATACGTGCTCTTTGAAATCTCGTCTTACCGGATAAAACGCTAACACGCACTTTTTGCAAATGTAACAAACACAAAAAAACAATTCGCATGTACGTACGTGCTGCGTCGAACAAAACAACAAGTTAATTTTAAAAGCGAGACTCGGACTCTATCGCGTTTACGCTTGCGTGTGCAGGAATCGCGAAAAAAAATCGCGTTTTATTACGCAAATCGGCATCGAGACTGCGCTTTGATTGAGAGCGCATTTATTTTGATGAGTCAAGTTATTTTAATAACTTTTTATTTTTACTAAATATATGTATAACGATTTTATATATATATACTGTACGAAATCAGCAAAGCGGCGGCGCATCTAGGGTCTTTTCGATAGCGCGCTCTGCGTTGCGGTAACGACGGCGCTACTTTCCGAGCGACGGCGATCGACACGAAAATTACATGTAACGACCATGTGATTTACACGTGGTTGCCGAATGGCACAAGGATTCGGGAATGCTACAGAA